CATCGTGAAAAAAACCAACACACAAACATAGACAATGTTCTTACCATCAACTTTTATTATAGGTCAATTCATTCTAATTTTTAAACTAAAGAATCTAAACATKATTGGCTGWGAATAAATTTGGTACCTTTGTACATTGTATTTAATTTAAGAAAAATTAAGATGTCCCTTAATGTTTCTTAAATTGAGTTACATTACATAACATAAAATCAAGTTCAATACTTTCCCGAGATGAAAAAAAGCTGAATATCCCACTCTTTGAATTAATTGGCTGTAAAACAGCAACTCAAATTAGAAAAATAAATAAAATAAAATAATAAATAATGTATAGATTTATAAATATTTTTTTATTCTTCAAATCATAATTCAGTATTCACAACACAAATTTTTGACATAGAAATAATATATTTTACACAAACAATTCACAATAATATCATAACAAATAGGGTAAGAATACAAAACATAAACTTACCAAACTTTTTTCCACACTGAGAGGACAAGATTGTTTAAAACAAAAATATAAATAAACTAGATTGTATGAACCTACCCCTAAGTTGAACAATTTTAAAACACAAATTCAATCAACTTTTTCCACTAGCATTTAGTATTATATGCAGAAAGTACCTATTATAAGTTAGATAAAGTTAGATAATTCACCAAGCATGCTACCTCTTTTTCTTTTTCAATAATGTAGTTATTTAAAGTCTGATTTTTGGAGATTAAAATTTACTTTAAAACCATACTTATTTTYAAATTATTGAGATTTCTTAGTGATAAAAACTTTACCTTTTCAAATGAGAGGTCACCTTATTATTGTAAATTATTTAATTGATGTTTTTGAAAATTTTGATGTTAGTACCTATTAAAAACCCAAATATGTCTATGGTAATAGGCTTAAATATGGTGATTTGAAMATTTTAGTCATTAATATTAATCTATTAACATTGATAATTTGTAAAGATGGCCTAAGTGGCCAAGTATAATAATTACTAGTTCTAATATTATGTCTATTTAATATTTTTGAAAA